AGGAAACTCAATAAGTGTCTTTTAGACATTTAACATTTCACACACACACACACACACACACACACACACACACACACACACACACACATATATATATATATATATATATATATATATATATATATATATATATATATATATATACATATATGTAGACATTTAATTCAAAATCCAGAGAGAAAAAATTGTTTCATGCCAGTCGCAGTTGAGTATGAAACAGACCAGCACCTCTCGGTGTTGACCTCAATGTCCACTTTTATATTTACATACCCTCTATCCATGATATTGACCAATTTAACCCAGAAATATACCATACCTCACAACAATACACACACACACACACACACACACACACACACACACACACATATATATATTTACTACTGGTAAAACTACAACAAAGACATATAACTGACCAAAGAAATTAAAAGAAAATACTTGTCTACACTAATGTGTAGCAAATTTACTAAGATCTACCATGAACCTCTCAATTTGCATTCTGTTGGTTTTTCAACCTATATATATATATATATATATATATATATATATATATATATATATATATATATATATATATATATATTCATTTTCTATGGTTTTTTTTCCAAATTTTACATATGTTATACGTCGGGATAAAAAAAGACAGTGCAATATATATATATATATATATATATATATATATATATATATATATATATATATTGAACATTATATCAGTCCTTCATGAGCTTCCGATGATTAGCTATGATTAATTAATGATGAGAATGCCATTTTCAATATGATCGACTTCATCACGCTTCTTCTGTTAAGCTTGGTATGTAATTATACGTTCCTATTGTTCAAAGTAATGTCCAATAGTGTTATAAATACCTCGGAGAATTCAAGATAAACTGGTTCAAATGTTAATTTAACAATTGGACATTTTTTTTAATTTTGCTGTACACGATCTGGACAATTTTTCAGTTGCACAATATATATATATATATATATATATATATATATATATATATATATATATATGCCTGTGTGTGTGTGTGTGTGCGTCTGTGTGTCTGTGCATGTGTGTCTTTCTCTCTCTGTGTGTGTGTGTGTGTGTGTGTGTGTGTGTGTGTGTGTACCTGACAGTATGCTATATATCATCATCTCGTTTCGTGAAGGATTGAAAACATCTGTTTTATCTAATGGAGAGTGTTCAGAGGATTTCAATGTAATAAATGGCACAAAATAATGTTGTGTCATGGCTGCTGTACTTTTCGTTCTCTTCTTTTCGGTCATGTTACACCATGCTTTTTGTTATCTTGACATGGGTGTGAAATTTGAATTCCGCACAAGTGACGGACTCTTTAACCATCAACGTTTTAAAGCAAAATCGCTGACTCGAGCAAGCTTTATTCGTGATCTTTTGTTTGCTGATCACGCTACGATGGTGACCACCTCAATCGAAGAAGCTCAAGAACACATCAATCGTTTTTTCTCCGCTTGCAACGGCATCCAGACTAACTGTAAGCATAAAGAAAACTGAAGTTGTCCATCAACCAACGCTTACACCAATGCAGTTCAATGGTGTAAAGCAAAAACCAAATGACCATACCTTTCCAATCGCTCCCATTACTGTTGGCAACAACAAAATGAAGTATGTGAAATCGTTCACGTACTTTGGAAGCACAGATATTTCAAGTGCCTCTAAGAATGACGAGATAGTTAACCGAATATCAAACCAATGCCTTTGGGAAGCTTAAGCATTGCCTGTGGGATGTTTGTAGGTTTTCACTGAAAACGAAAATCCATGTATATCTAGCAGTAATTCTCACCACACGTCTTTATGGGTCAGAATCATGGACGCCATACAGAACACACATAAATAAACTTTATGCTTTTCATATACGTTGTCTTCGTTCAACATGCGATTATACATGGCAGGACAAAATCTTTAACTATGATATTTTCATCAAATGTGCTTTCGGTGATACTGAATCCTTTCTGATGCAATCAAAATTCAGATGGATGCTATGTCATCAGAATGAGTGATGATCGGATGCCGAAAACCCTCATGTATAGCCAACTTATTCATGGCAAGTGTAATGTAGGCCGTCCATGCTGACGCTTCAAGGATAAACTTAAATACAATTTAATTGTTGTAAACATCACTGTAGAGGAGTTCGAAAATGCTGTTGAAAACCGAGCAAACTGGGAAACATCTGCCAGCGAGATATAACTAACTTTGAAAAGAATTGTCTCAATCATATGCGAGAATTAAGAATTAACGCTAAATCTTGGGCTAATACATCAGCCCATATACATATAGATATACATAACCAAATCTGTCAGCATGTCCCTTGTGTGGACTTCTTAGCAAATCCAGTGCAGATTAGTTGTCTCATACATAAACATAAAAACTGAAAAGAATCTCATACGTCAAAAACAGTAGGAGTTTACATCACATGTATATATATATATATATATATATATATATATATATATATATATATATATATATATTACTAGCAGCATGGCCCGGCGTTGCCCGTGCTTGATTCAAAAAATCGTACAACTCATACAGCAATCGCTATCACTTGACTTAAAATATTTTTGCCCTTCCTTGCCTTTAAAGGAGTGCCCTTTACCGTGCTGATGTTGCTACATGCCTTACTTCTTGCCTATTTCACACTTCCAATTTTTTATAAACTCTATACTAAACATTAAATCTGTTACGAAAAAAGAACTAAACAAAATGAACACAAAACGATCAGCTTTAATAAAGGACTCGTAACTGGAAAAACCGAATGAAAAACAATGTTAACAACAAATACTTTTTCACACCCAACCCAGTTTCCTGAAATGTTGAGACTGGTCATACTACCTGGGTGGGGTTGTTGTTGCCGTTGTTTTGTTAACCCAGTACTTTGAAAACCATGCATTGATCCGATTTTAAGTTCAAATAAAAAAAGCTCAAAAGTGTTTAACAACGCGACGTCAACTGCACAGTCCAAAATGAGGTGAAAATATCCGTATCACTTGTGAGTCAATCGGTTTTTTACAAAGATTGAGACCCAAATAAAATCCGGGCTTCGGCATGACACAATAACGTAAACTGAAAAATCGGATCTGGGATGCGGCCTGGGAGAAAGAACAAAGTTTAAAGAAGTGGGAAATGGACTGCTGAGAGCATGGTCAACACGGAGATTTGTATCGATTTTTGAGTCATGACGGGGGTCACACGGCATTCTATGCAAGGCACCTCTAACTGGGCTGCGTAGAAATTTCTGGCTGAATTGTAAAGAACGCCCTAAATTATAGAATGTAATCCGCCCAAATACGGGAGTACCAGCTAATTTACCAAATTTTGGAAAGCCTGAGTCCAAATTGAAAATCTGTCTCCGTTACGAATTGACGCCGTAAATGTCGGAAGTTGAATTGACGCCGTAAATGTCGGAAGTTGAATCGACATTTGACGTTAATTGCAGCCTGGGCGTGAAAAGAAGTTAAAAACTGACAGCTGATGGCAGGGTCGAACCGGAGCTTTTTATCGATTTTTTGCTGCACGAAGGGGTCTCGCATGCATTTTTGAAAGGGCCCGCAATCTGGTCGGGAACATTCATTTCTGTACATATGGTATGCTTATGTGAGGAGACACAATTGATGCTTGTAACTATACATCAGTTGGCGATGTGTTCAATGCTTTACCTTAATGCGGTAAAGGGGAGCAAGCGCTTATGCCAAGGATGCATTTGTATCCATCAGATGCCGATGTACCCTTCACTTTCGGAAGATCCCCATTCCCATTCACACCGTGTTTTGCTATAACAATTACTAAGGCCCAAGGACAAACTGTCAGTCACTGGTGTACACTTAGAGGAGCAGTGATTCTCATACGGCCAACTTTACGTAGCCTGCTCTCGAGTCGGCAGGCGCGATGATGTGTTCCTTTATTCACCCTCACAAAAAGCTGAAAATGTTGTCTACACGTAAGTCCTCAGCCAGTCCTCAACTAACTCCATTCCATTTTTCTTTTCTATGTAAGAAAATTGAGGTCCCCTTAGGTACAACGGGGAGGGTCTGGCGAAAGTCACCGGATAGAAGGACAGTTATACCTTCCATAAGGTCATCAGAGTTTCGAATACCCTTCAGAGAGTGGTTTACAGCCTCGAGTGCAGTTTTGTGACTGACAGTGCACTCATCCCAGACGATGAGCTTACATCGCCTGAGTACCTCCGATAGACATGATAACTTGGCTATACTGCATACAGCTATTTCTATCTTAATCAGGTCAAGCAGAAGTTTAAATGTTGTGTGCACTGTTCGGCCACCTGGTTGTAATGTGGCAGCAATGCCTGAAGACGCTACTGCTAGCGCCACTTCCCCATGGTGCCGAATTTCTGCAAGAAGCAGTTTTGTTACGAACGTTTTTCCCGTTCTCCCAGGCGCTTCCAGGAAGAAAATTGATCCTGTATCCTGCCTAGTGGATGCAGGAACCGCATCGTAAGCGGCCCTTTGGTCTATGAGAAGTTTTGGCACATTTGTTGTGACATAGGCATTGAGCTCCTCAACAGAGTAGGATGTCTCTCGCACAATCTCAGGTGAGAGACTGGATGAAGCCACCCGATCTGGCGTTGGAAGCCCAATAGCGGCGAGAGATCTCCCCCCCATTTCAACAAACAGGTTCTCCATGATTATAATCGACTGTTGTAAATTTTATCGTTGAATATAAGAGCCATTATGTTGGACACAGCAGTTGCGCTTCTCTGAGTATGTCTTCGGACAAAAATGTCCTTGTATTTGTCCCAAAATGATTTGGGATCACTGGGTTCGCGCGTTTGTAAAATTGTGGTGAAGAGGTGGCGCAAAGCAGAGCGCATTTTTAAAAGAGCTCCCTCAGCCATTGTGGCATCTCGTTGGCTGTCATCGTCCAAAAGGCCGAGACGGAGGCAGTCCTCACGAAAAGTGTCACATAAAACTCCATTAACCGTCCGTAAGTTATTTTAGCTCGTTGGACCAATAACTTCGTGCAAAAGAAGTCGCAAGTAAAAACATTCCTGTCGCGATGGGGGAACCGTGAATACCCTTCCGAATGTGGCGTCTTCTTTGACGCCTGGATAGCCCTCGACGCTGGCCACGCACTTCCGCCGAGCACAGGTGTTCTTTTTTGTCCATACGTAGTATGAAGGCACGTCTAGGTATAGTAGAGTCCTAGCAAACTTTGTTACGCGCAGCCATATCCATTGTTGTATCCGTAGAAAAATAACGAAGTTCGTCGTTTTCTAGGTGCTCAGCAAGCTGGACGATTGCTGGGAAGCGTTCGTGGATGGGGAAGCTGAATATGTGCCAAGGGCCCTCTGCAGTCGCCTGTTCTGCATGTGTAACGTTAACGGTATTAGAGGTCTTCAGTTGCTGACGTGCGGATGTTAATCGTGCAGGAGCCATTTGAATGGTTGTAGAAATGCTGTGTAAGAATGCGAATAGAAGTTGATGCCGTACCTGAAGCGGTACAACCTCGTTGTATACGAAAACTAAGTGAATTAGTATAGAGAAAGCTTCTCCTAACTATGAGCCGTGCTTTCTGGCAGCACGAAAACTTCGCCGTATGAAGAGGTTACGCAACCAAAACGTTGAAGCGTTGAAGGTTAAAAAGTAGTGAAACACTGAAGTGTACTGGGCCGCGTAGTAAAGGCAGAAGAGAAGTAACTTGCGACAGCAGTTAACTGTCTAATAGCAAAACTGAACTACGAAAAAGTAGAAACAGGTATGGAACGCTAGAATGGACAGGGCTGCGCAGTAGAGGCATTACGGGGAGATAAAATGGGTAATCTAAACGTTTAAGCAAATAGGTAATTTGCGTTAGCAGGAAGCTGTCAATTAATCCAAGGACAGATGCGTTAATGGCGATCAAATCAAGACGTGAGTGCGGATGCAGCCGCGCTGAAGATATTTAAAGGGAGCGTGACTTGTCATTGATTGGTGTAGCCTGGACAATGGCCATGACTTAAACCAATGAATGGGCTCACGCAAAATAGAATATGTTAGCGCACATTCATGCACACACGCATGATTTGGCAAGTGCAAGGCTTGGACGTAAACGGGGTCAAGCTGCCTGCTGCATATGCAGCTTGGCCCTAACGCACGTGATGCCGGCTATGAGATTGCAAGGAGCTGCAATGAAGCATTTCTTCGTTTGGTTTGTGCGACAACGAAAAGCCTCTAACCGTTTACCGGCATTAGCTTTGAAATAGATTGGGAGGAAGTCCTGCTGTTCTAGCGCAAAAAAAATCCTCGTCAGTTCTGGGATGCGGCCAGTGCTAGGGGAAAATCGATTGCTGAGGGCGGAACCATTTTCACTCAGCACGTATGCGGGTTTTTTTTTTTTTTTTCAGTAAAGACGCGAATAAATCAAGTGCTTATTGTGGTAAGATGCGACGATTAAAGCAAAAGTGTTGACAAAGTCGAATATGTCATTTGTGGCTCAAAGTCAGACCTGGCAGCAGGGATAAAAAAGCCGAATTTCAAAGGCGCTGCACCCATTCCAGAATTTGAGGTCAAATGTTTTCTTCCACTCCACTGCACGCACTGACCTGTTTTTTTTGTTTTTTTTTCCGCGCATAGCGTGACCTTAAATTAATCTACATTTAGGAAATACCCAACCGGAAAAACATTTTTAAGGGTTGACCGATTATCGATTTGGTGGGCGATCAGAGTTGAAACTTCACATGATGACTCCCAATGGCCTCCTCATATATCCGGTCGGTTTTCTCTAAAAAATCTGGGCGTATCGGTTTTGGGGTTTTATCGATTCTTCGCGCTGTTTAGGGGTCCGTGGTCATGAAACTTCTGGACAACACTTCTAATGAGAGACTCTAAGAGGGTGTCAAATTTGGTTGAAATGCGATCATTCCTTCAGTAAGCAGATTTTTTCGATTATCGATTTTTTCGAACCTGAATCCGAACTGAAAAATCGGGCTCCGCCATGTCCTTACGGCAGCCATTTACAAACTTGTGGTGAAAACTGCATCGAAATCGGGTGAGAAATGTGGCCTGCGCGAGGCAACAACGCCCACGACAGACACACAGACAGACAACATGAGAAATATAGATAGATAGATAGATAGATAGATAGATAGATAGATAGATAGATAGATAGATAGATAGATAGATAGTAAAAAAAGAAAGAACAGTAATATATATAATCCGGTTTTCTTATTGATATTTTTATTTTTACAAAACAGTACTCAATATAAATTTACAGACGATAAATATTATAAATTAATTGATTTAAAAATATGGTTCTTCGCTACAAAGGAATTACCATGCTTCAAAAACCTAAGCTAAAAACTTCAAATTTAATTATATAATTAAATTAAAAGCATTAGTTCTGGTTCATCTTTACAAATTAGCAAAATGAACACGCTACCACCCCTGTCTAAATGATTTGATTTCCCTGTATCCTTGGAAAAAAAACTATGAATGTTTGTCCTTTTAAAACTCATTAAATTCAAAAATAAGTTATTCCAAAACTCGCTTGAAGATGAAACAGAAATAATGCTTTTAATTTAATTATATAATAATATATATTATATATATATTAATATACATATATTTTATATATATTATATATATAAATTATATATATATATTTATATATATATATATATATATATATATATATATATATATATATATATATATATATATATATATATATATATATATATATATATATATATATATATATATATATATATATATATATATATGTGTGTGTGTGTGTGTGTGTATATTAATATGAATATATTTTATATGCTATATATTTTCCCCATCATCGTAGTCTATTTATTTTAAACGTCTCTTATTTTAATTCGCAGGAGTAAACTTGATAAGACTGTGACGAAACCGGTTGTTTTTTTTTAGCTATTAGAATTTTAAATTAAATGCCTTTTAAATTACGCTTATTCCTGGCTATTATAAAATGTTGTACAACAAATAATTTGTTCTCTCTCAAAGTACTAAACATCTTTTAAAATTGTCGTTAAAAAAACATATTCTAACCTAAACACCTCTCTCAAAGTACTACAAGCACTTAAAAGAATCCAATAAAACACCTACAGTAAAATGAAATTAATATGAAAAGCTAGAATATGTAGGCCATTAAATGACCCATGTCCTTTGTACATACATGGGAAACTATATATTACTAAGTTTATAAAAAATAAAAGTGTACTAAATCAGAGAAATGAATTGGCTATTCTTTGCCGTCATTATCATAAATTTTACTTAAATAATATTTAAATATAAAATTAAAAACAAAATGTGATCTGGTAATATATATACTTATACTTGATATGAAAAAATAATTTTACATACTGTAAGTAATTCTGATACAATAACTTGTTTTAAAAAGAAATATAGTCTATTAAAAATTAAAAGTGAAAATATTTTAAAATTGTAGTTAAATAAAACGTATTCTAACCTGAGCATCCCCCCAAAATCTTTAAGTATTCAAACAGAAAAAATGCCGTAAGAATTTTTGCCTTTAACAATAATTTTTTAAAAAAAATCCACATGACATGCATTTAACGGATGTCAGAATTCTTTGTAAAAATACATCCCTAACCCTACCTAAATGTAACCCTTTTTCAAACGTAACTAATAACTGATACAACAAAAGTTAATGAATATAAACACACAAGCACCCCTTGTCTGGATGAATGGATTACTCTGTATCCTGGAAACTGTGAATTATGATTTTTTGCCGTACCTTTAAAACCCAGTAATTTTTTAAAATTCGCTTAATGATGAAATGGAACTCATGTCTTTAATTTAATTACAAAATTAAATTCGAAGGTTTTAGCTTCCATTTTTGAAACATGGTTAGAACTGTGTAGCGAAAAAACATATTTTAAATCAGTTAATTTATAATATTAATGCTCTGCAAATTTACATTGAGCACTATTTTGTAAAAATAAAATATCTATAAGAACACCGGACTATATATCTTACTGACCTTTCTTTTTACACACACACACACACACACACACACACATATATATATATATATATATATATATATATATATAAAGTATTTTAAAATATTAAAACAAAATAAACCTAAAAAATAAAATTAATTTCAAAGGGAAACTTTGATAGAATAGGAAGCGATAGAATAAAAGAAATAAATGGCAATCTAAAATCAACTGTTAACAGGAAGAGTCAAATATATCCGCGGGGATATTGAGGTCTGAAGTGAAAGAAGTGAAACTTTTTCCGCCAAATATCTGTCAGTTTCGGCGCCAATATCTTTTAAGGCAGACTAAATTTCTCCCGGCAATAAAATCGCTTTTAAAGAAACATTACCAAGAAAAACCATCATAATGTTTCGTTGTATTTGCTCATCCCCACACCAAATGCCAGATATCAGTTGCTAAATGCCACTGGACACCTCATGTTCTTTATTCTTCAGGACTACTCCTAGCTTTAAATATTATCTGGACTGTTTTAAGACGTCCCCAATTCTCCCAAATTTTGAAATTTGCCTCTGGCGTTTTCAGTAAGTTTAACAATTTTTCTGTTAGTACCAAAGTAATCTTTAGATACCTCAGCAAAGTCCAGCTATATTACATTTTCTTCTGTAGCAGCAACCTCCATACGAGAGAATTTAATTTCCTCGTTTACAACAACTATATCCAGTTTTCTTCTTTAGATTAGCTGGTAGACTTTGAACTCGCTTGCACACTTTTTTATGGTGTCATTTTCAGTAATGTGTTTTCTGTTTTTTGTATTTTTGTTTGTTTGTTTGTCTTATATTCACTTTGAATCAGTTTGCTGCATTTACGTGTAATATGATTAACAGAATTGTCGCTTTCTCCAAGAGGGTGGAATCCTTGCCACTTCATATTAATGCTCTGGTGTTTATTGGTAAGATTTCAGAGAAGATTTCTCGAAATCTCAAACATACACTACAATATAATAACCAATAGTATTATTACATAATCTCGTGGAATTTGAACACTTCTAATATCTGAAGACTTTGGCTAACATCCAAATAAAATCAAATTTTCCAGTAATCTCTTCTTAATTTTTACTGATTTTATTAATATTATTTTCTGTGAATTTTAAATTCTTTCTCATGTTTCCAGTTGTTTCCAATTCTTTGTGTAAGTCTTCAGAGCTCTTGCATGTTCCCCATCCATTTTAAATAGGACTCTCTGCTATCTATCTATCTATCTATCTATCTATCTATATATATATATATATATATATATATATATATATAGATAGATAGATAGATAGATATTAGCTGATTCATGTTACCTTTAGCATCTCGACTCTCCAGGTTCGTAGACGGACCCTCCAGCAATAACTTCGTCCAATCGTCAGGGAGTATCATCAGCTGATTGTTTATATGTCCCGTTTCTTAATATATGCAATTTCCTTGGTCGAAGGTTGATATATATATATATATATATATGTGTGTGTGTGTGTGTGTGTGTGTGTGTGTGTGTGTGTGTGTGTGTGTGTGTGTGTGTGTGTTATGTCAAAACCTCGACTTTTATTCACTTTTCTACTCTTTTTTTTTCAGTTTAATCGACAGCTGCCTTAAAATCTACATTCTTTATTTGACAGGGTTACCTGGCTTTGTTTACGATAATTAAAAGTGGTATCATCATCAATCATCAAAATCGCTTATTTTCTTCTTCGAAGCATAAGGACACTTGTACACCGCTTCACAATGCTTGGACAAAAGCCTCACCACACTAGATCCACAGACTCAACACATTAGAATTAATGCTGTCATCACAAGTGCAAGTATCTGTTGTGAATTCACAGATGTCAGTCTCCTAGACTGGTTGCCAGCTAAGCCTAGAGAACTCAAACTGATCTGCTATTTAACTCATGGCTGTGGCAAAGCTAATGTGTCCATACTGTCTTCCTATAGTTATTATCTGGAGCCTGTTACCTGCAATTGTCAGAAATCTCACACAGTAGTCGATGTATGTTATCTATACACTCTTAAAGGTTCCCCAGATTATTAAATTCGTATTATTCCCATGTGTTTCTATGAGTCAGCATAAGTTTCTGTTTTAATACTAAGGTTAGTACAAGGTGAAACCTTAGTTATGAAAACGTAATTCAATTAGGGACATTCGAAAGTTTATGTTTTATTGTTTTAATATCCTGTAGTTAATTCGTAACAATTTATATTCAAAATATCTCGTTAGAAACAAAGTATATTTTACTGGAATGCAAGTTTACATATAAGACTGACGAATTTCCTCACAAATGAAAAACAGACACGAATCGACAGAGATGTGGATGGATGCTGAGAATACTACGGATAAACAATATAATTAACGAAATAGTTTAAAGAAAGAAACATTCGAAATCACTGAGACACATAAAGAGGAATGAGAGCCTGGTGAATCTGGCACTCACAGGACGTAATGATATCAAGAACGATCAGCGAATAATCTATCTAACCGCTATGTATGAATAGATGGCATAGCTTGGAAAATGGAAATTGTAAAGAGTCAGATGTTGATTAGAACTATGAGGAGCTTTTACCGATCACATCCGAAAGTGTTACGGTACATAAAAGCATATTATTTTAATAACTATCATAATGCACTGTCAGCTGGGGCTTCGGAATACGCCTGTGCTGAGGGGTAAGACCCCCACCAAATGAGGCGTCCTGAGAAGACGATAAACTACATCCAACAGCAAGGCCTCTGATCAGGAGAATTTGAGGAGCATGAAACCACTTCTTAATTGGTTGTGTTGACCCGGGGTGCTAGCAACTGTTAGGGTCCCTGATATAGGCAAATAGTTAACCCCTAAACTATGGTCGAATCACTATGAAAGTGTAAAAATAGATTTTAATACACTATTAACATTATTCGAACTATTGTCCTCATCTTTGTTGCCAAATTTATCACAATGTTTCGGCCGTTGTACGCTCCGAACCTTCTTCAGGTGCTTGGAGTGTCGAACTGAACACTTTATCCACTGTGCCATTTGTCCTTAAGGCAGCTGTTAGAGTGGATAAATGCGTTTGTTAGATTTTGACAGGACCCAAAGAGTTGTGAGTTCAATACCTGGTTAAGGCAGTGGAGAACTTGGAGAAGTGAATTAACAGGAGATAACTGATAACTAACGTCTATTAGACATGGCACGTGGAACTAGAACAGTCTACCCCAGTGAG